GCTGCCACGTGGCTGGTTGCTTATTTCAGGTGCCTGTCTGTTGGACTTCCCCAACCGCCGATTGCAACTGCCCGTCGCTCGATTCACCGGTACCTCACCCGTTGCTAGCACACGCATACCTGTCTGGTGCATGAACTGCTGAGGGGCAGTTGGCACTTTCAAAGACCACCTTCAACTCATCAGCAGCCACCATCATCCTGCGAGCTGTTGCTCTGCTGGCGGGAATCTGCTCTGTGCAAATATTATAATCGACTGCTGCGGCTAGTTATATTTATACACTGCTAGGCTATGCTGGTCTTACGGACTTATTATTAGGGCAAGATCCTCCCGAGTCCCTATCTCTGTGTGTGTGTGTGTGTTACGTGGTTGGGGGTGCGTGACCCCATTACCTGTAAAACTACCCATACGAGCCGAAGGCCCAAGGGCAATATCTATACGCCTAAAAGCCACGGAGAACAGGAAAAACCGCACTATCAGCCCGGACTAGCGCCCATAAAAAGTTAATTAAGTTGAGATGAGCCCACAGCCGTTTCAACATCGTTCGCCAGACGTGCTGTCTCCCATTTCATGGCCTCCAACATGCTCTGTTGATCGAATCCCTCTTCCGCACGAATATCATTATAGGCTGGGCATTCCAATACCACGTGCTTTTTATCCTCGATTTGGCTATTAGTACCACAACAGCGGCAAAGCCGCTGCTCCCTCGGGACATGGCAGTTGCCCCTTCGTGCTCTGTTTCCCTCCAAAGCCCAGCAATATAAACGAAACTGCATTTGCTTACAATGTGCTAAACGAGGAATGAAAACCTTAGCATCTATCTAGACGGCGTACATGAGATATATTGTGTGTTCCATGGTCGTGCACATCCCTCCCTCCCTCCCTCCCTCCAGCCCGCCAGCCCGCCAGCCCGCCACTAATGCACTCGTGAGTTTGTCTGTCGTCCTTTGGCATGCGCATTGCTCAGTCCTGGCTGACCGGCCACTTGCGCTGTGTGTCCCCTGTTCCTTCCCCTTTCCCCATGCTGCGGCAACGGCCGAGATTGTTCTGGCGAGGTGCATCCCTTCTTAGAAATGAGGACAAGGGTGATGACGTCTTCCTGCGTGATGAACACGACACACGCCTTTACACACGCTTAGAAGCGCGTCGCACGACTGACATGGCTGGCTGTGCTGGGCGTAGAGACGTTACAAGGCAGGGCAGCCGGTATCCCCCTATGATGTTATGTGCGCTATTGTGTGCGTATGTCTGTCTGTCTGTCTGTATGTATGTATGTGTCGTGTATGTGTGTGTCTATGCATGTGCGCGCGTGTTTCTGTGCATGATAAAGCCGATCAGCAAACAAACAGACAAAGTTCTCCAGCCAAACCCCGCTCAGAGTTGCCAGCCAGCTCAACATCCGTACGTCACGTCAGCCAGCCCGCAGCCCAGCTTGCATTGTTCAACACCGCTATGCATTACGAGATGTATGTGTTTTTGTTGTCCGTCCGATGCATGCAGCACCCGTGTTACCTGTGTTTGTTGTGTATGTGTGCCGTGGCCCTTGTTATCCCTCCCGCAAACTGCCACCTCTCGGCTTTTGCCCGTCCGAGGGCACCTCTTGTTAGCGGTGTTGGTCTTCGTTAGCGGTCCTGGACATCGCGGCTGCCGCCGTGGCGTGGGACATCGCTGCTGGTGCTGGACATAGATAGGGCACGATATCTGGGGTTAGTGTATGGACCAGAACGGCCGTTTTGGGCCTGCCACCAGCAGTTGTACGACACAGCTAGAGCAGCTATGTACGTTTAGTACAAAATTGGATAAGCTAAAGCTGCTCACCCCAGATGTGAGCATGAGGTGTTTTGATACGCAGGTATGAGCAATACTGTTGTATGGCTGTCAACATGGGGGCCGTCTATGCTACTAGCTGCTGAGGCCGTGGACAGGCTCAGAAGGCGAAGTGATGCGAGTGACCTTGCAGAGGCCCTTCGATGCATGGCTAAAGGATGGAACGGTGCAGCTTCACGTGTCGTTCATGCAACAAATTGTGGGAGCTGTCAGACCAACTCATCGCCTCCTGTCGTGGCTACCCCTACACACACTACCACGTTTCCAAACAGATTGTGCGGTTTTGGAACCGTGCCCATTTACAGTGTGGGTCTGTGGCACACCACGTTTTGCGACAGGAGGTCAAATGGTCCCTCTACAACCCCGAAGGAGCCGGATGGAGGGCACTACTCCTCCGTTTCCTAAATTTTCTGGGGCACGACGTATGGAAAGGGGCTGGCAACCCTCCCTTGGATGGTGTGGCCGGAGTGGGCCCGGACTCACCTCGACCCACACTTTCGCCTGGCGACACAGCTGCATTGCGGGCATACCGTGGAGAGGAGAAGACGCCTGCTGGCTGAGTTTGTGCAGGAGGCGACTAGGGGATATTCAGGACCTGTCGCTGCGGCCCCCGTCGGAAGTCTGCCTATTCAGGATGACCTTGGCCAGGGTACGATGGCAGAATGAGAACATGTAGACGATGTGGCTGCTCACGGTGGATGGCGTTACCTGGCAACACGCATCCACGGCCCGCATCTGCAGCTCCTGAATGCTGTGGATGTGGCAGATTCGGTGGAGCAGCTGGTCAGCCATGCTCGCCACAACATGCACCACTTCTGGGAATGCCTGGTGGCACGGGCGGTGTGTGTGCAGATCGATCGGCATCTACAGCTTTTCCCGGCAGCGGCGGGAGGAGGAGTCACCCGGAAACAGCTCTGGCTAGGACAGGCCCCAGCTGGCTGCAACAGGCCATATGTGATGTAGTCGCCCTTGTGGGCGCAGCCCTTGTCGCCCTACTGCTGCCTGGGGGCTGCCGGCAGTAGGCAGGAACTAGCTGTGAGCCAAGACCCGCAGCAGCCGGAGCACACTTAACATGCCAGGCGCCCGGCCCCAGGTAGCGGCGGATAACGGACTTCTTTCCCCCAGACCGA